AACTGACGCACCTCTACAACAATAAGGTTCCTAATAGCTACAAAATAAAACTGTTGTCAGCGCCAATTGCAGTGATGTATCGAGATTGCTGGAAAGACCTTGGTTAAACATCGATACGAAATTCCATTTTAAAAGCCTGTTTTTTCCCTTGAAATTTACGCTTGTTGTATGAGAGAATGTGGATTAGGCGGTAAACCCTCTGGTACGATTCGGATCCCGCAGTTCGCCCAGGATAAGAAATGTAATTTTGTAAAACTAGTTGAAACTGGTGAACTTTTATAACTTCCACAAGTCAAATGGGCATAGGACTCAACGCAAAAATGTATGCCTTGAATAAAAAAACAGTCTTCAACCGAGCCGAACGTCCTAACATATTTTGAATTAAAAACACTTATCGTTTTGATAAGTAGTAACTCTGTGCTAGAGATGGTGCCTCTCACTGGCAATGCCGGCGAAACGGTTGGGAATGTACCAAATCATTGGTCCAATGCTGGAAATCACGAGTACCATGCCAGAGGACACAGGGCTTGGAACATTCCACAATGTCTCTCTGACGCTCCGACAAAGTTGCGAAAGGGAGGTCGAACCAACGCTAAAAACACGCAAGTTATTGTTGTAGGTTTTCCTAGTGTCAAGATAAAACTACAGAATGAGGAGAAAACCAATTCACCTCAAATTCTGTTGATGAATTCGGCTGAAAGGGCTTTACTGGCAGCCATACTTCATTGAACCCAGGTCGGTCAGATGCGCTCCCTCGCCGCCTTATAGTTTCCAAATTTGCCTCAGGTTCGGCTGTACTGACGTAGCCCTCAGGTCTGACAGAGTTTCCCTCTCCAACACCGACAGTGGCACCGGGCACATTTACTGTAGAGATATCAGTGCCTAACGAGCTGGCGGCTACCGCAACTGAAGCAAGGGCCACGTTCATTGAGAGCGCCTGCGACAAACCGGAAATTGGTCCGCTGCTCGGAGGAGGACGTTTTGGAAGTGGGGTAATAAAGATATCACGAACGGCGCGGAATTCACCGCAATTATTCAGATGCTCATTTTCAAGGCGGAAGAAGTTCCAGATAAACCGGCTGTAAAAGGTGAAGAGAAGAAGTTTCAAAATGCTGTGCATATTTTGGCGTTGAAATAGAAACAGATAATTTAAGAT